CACAGGCGCGCACTCCGCAGCTGCCGGAAGACCTATGGCTTCCACTTCCCTGTGCCCCAGCGGCAGCTGTGTCTCTGGGATGAGGACACCTAGCTGGCTGAGGAGGCCTGGGCTGCTCCGGGCCTGCCCAGAGGAGGTGGCATCCTCATGAGGCCTTATCTCCCTGCCCTGCCCCGAGCCCCGGTCCCACCCACCCGACTGAAGAGGGTGTGGCATCATGGGGTGACTGGTAGGGGCAGCCCCAACTGCCACCCTGTGCCTTCCTTGGGGCAGAGAGGGACGAGGGGGTTCTCTGAACTCGCACCCCACCCTCCTTCATCTCCCCTCAAGTGTTCACTTTGAAGCCTTCACAATGTGACCCTCCCTTCGAACTCTCAGGCTTAGACCCTGAAAGGAACCTGCGCCTGTTCCACCCCCGCCCCCATGCCGCTGCCCCCCTGCACCTTCCCATCCCCAGCAATGAGGGGACACTACCCTAAGAGGGGCCTGCTGGGGACCGATGCCATAGGCCCCCCCGGGGGCTTACAGCACAGCCTCCTCCTGGCCCCAGGCCACCCCCACCCAGACCCGGCCAGCCAGTGCCTTCCAGACCTGGCCAGGAACAGCCCCCAGCCCTGTCCCCTAAATGGAAGTATTTTTGTAAGGTTCTGGGGTGGGGAGGGTGCATGAAGTACAAGGAAGACTTGAATTCCAGATTTTTAATGCAAAGTATTTATCATTTGTACCAGAAATAAAAGTTTAAATTTTTACTTGCCTGGCAACGCTAGAGCCACATCTGGAGAGAACTTTAGGCTGATGCTGCCCCCTGGTGTCAGGAGTGTTCCGAACCTGGCAGCCACCAGATTTGGGACGACTCCCTGAGCACCTACTGTGTGCGTCATCTAGAGGGAGGGGTTTCCCTGGGGAAGGGAGAGTCAGAGTTCTGCCCTCGGGAAGGTGAGCGAGGAGCAGGTGCAGCGTGGTAAGCGGGTCAGCGAGAAACAGGAGACTGGCTGGGCAGTCTGAGGCAGGCTGCTCTGCCTCCCTGTGCTCCCTCAACTGGACAGTGAGCTTCACTGTGAGGCTGACGCGTGTCCGTGGGTGTCAAGGGCCCGGCGCGTGTGAATGTGTGTCCTGTTACGACCGCTAGTAAAAGGAGCATCCCTCATCGCAGACCAGAGACGTCACTAAGCCAGACACCTGGGGGCTTCTGATACAAAGATGCTGCAGTGGGACACGCTGGGCAGGGCAGAGGGTCCGAGGAGGAGGACTGCGGGCCGCGTGTATTACAGAAGGCTTCCTGCAAGAGGCAGAGACGGGCTGAGGTCACGGACAGTAACAGCTTGGGAATGCCTCGGGGGTGGCACGTCATGTGAGTCCCACAGGAGACCCAGCTCCTGGGGAGGCCGGAGACAGGGTGAGAGCTTCTCAAAGGCCTCAGAGGGAAAGGGTCGGCAGAGCAGTCCCCTCTCTGCTCTCAGCACCCCAGGACAGGCCACCACTGCCCTTCAAACCTGTGCAGGGCCAAGGTCAGAGCCAGGCTGGGCCATGGCCAGGTTGTGGGTGGCGCTGGGGGGAGATACTCGGCCCCTGAAACGTGCCTTCGAACCTTTCAAGGACTGACTTCAGCCTTACTGGGAGACGAGAGAGGGAGGTAGCCCCTCCTTCCCAAGCCTTGTCTCCTTCCCTCTCTTGCCCATTCTGGGGCTCAGTCCTGAACCCCAACGCTGCCTTGGGTGAGGATGGGACCTGTGGAGCAGACACTCCCCACCCTGTGCTGGTGCCTTTTTGCTGGGGTGGAGTTCCAGGTTGGCTTTCTGTATCTGCGGGGTCTAAGTCTGAGCTGAACCAACCACAGATTGAAAATATTTGAAAATAGGAAAAGGAATGATTGAACAGTAAAAAATAATACAAAGTTTTGGACCACCCAGTAGTGTGATGGTCAAGGCTGCTGGATCCCACACAGCCAGTCCCAGGCCTGGCGGCTTGAAAAACGCTGGGCATTTTTGTGTGCCCAAGATCCCAAGAGGAGAATGGAAGGAAAGGAATCGCAGGGTGGCCATCCCCCTGGGAGGTGATTTCTCCCCCTCTATCTCTCTCCAGCAACTGCACACACCCTATAGCAAAAAGAAAAAAAACCTAAAAACTTTTAAAATTTACAAATTGAAAAAATACAGTATAGGGGACCAGCAGATGGTGTGATGGTTATGCTGCTGGACTCCTACGTAGTTGACCATAGTTCGAGTCCCAAACCTGGTGGCTTAAAACTCACGCTGGGACCAGCAGTTGGCATAATGGCTTTGTCACTGGACTCATGTAGTCAACTGCGGTTTGAGTCCTGGACCTGGTGGTTTAAACTCATGCCAGGCGCGTTTGTGTGCGTGCCCAAGATCCTGAGAGGAGAATGGAGGAGAAAGGATGCTGCATGGCCATCCCCCCTGGGGGGGGTGATTTCTAGCTTTCTGTCTTTCTGGCGAGTGCACGTGGCATATAGCAAAAACCTCTCCAAAAACAAACAAACAAAAACCAGTGCTGATTTCAAGACCTGGAGTGTGTTTCTGGCTTTCCTTGACTAGCGCTGCCCAGCCCATCTCTCCTGCAGTGAGTGGGCTCCAGACACCACTAAGCCCTGGTTTTCGGGGTGGGGATGGAGATGAGAATTACGATTCAAAGTGGACGCCCCTCCTTATCATCCAAGTAATCCATTTCATACCTCCCCGCCCCCCAGTCTGTCCGCCCCCTCAGTCACAGTGCCTGAAATGCCACGTGACGGTCCCTTGTCCGCTGGGGTCCTCAGATGTTGGGGTGCGTGGGAATCACTGTGGAGCTTGCTAAGCGTAGGGGTCAGCATGTGGACAACACCAGACCAAAGAGGCTTTATGCTCAGAGGCCGTGGGAGCTGGGGGAGAACCCCTGGGCGAGGTCATATACCTGCTACTCCCTTCTGGGTGGCACTTGAGGGTTTACAGAGCGCCTTCATGTAAATTAGCCCTTTGGCTCCTCAGAGCATCTCGTGCTATTTTATAGACGTGGCTCCCCTGTAAAGCCTGGGCCTGGCCCGAGGTCAGACGGCTAGAGCTGGAATCCAGCCCCTGGCCTTCGTACTCCGCACTGCCTCCTAACCGAGTGGCTTTATCTGGTGGGCCAGCTAGAACCTCAGAGTGTGCAGCTCACCTGCGGGGGGGAGACAAGAAGAAGGAGGTGTGGAGTCACAGCTGGGCCTGCCCCTGTCATAGCAATCGTGGGACACATGGGGGACACGGGGAGGGGGGGAGTGCCCAAAGCTTCCCTGGGACCAGGCTTGGCAGGAGCAGGCTCCTGATGGGTCACCTATGCAAGGCCAGCAAGGTGCTCTCGGGAGACAGAAGCCCAACCCTGACAGGCGCCTCTCCTGGCCAGGAGGAGAGGGTGGCAGGCAGTCCCAGCAGCACCGCCCAGCCAGGCTGTGGGCTTCCCATGGTGGTCTCAGGCTTCTCCCTTGTGGTCTTGTTAGTGAAGGGAGGCCTTAGGTGGGGGGCCTGTGTCCCAGGGCATCATGGGACCCACGTCTGGTGGGGGGACTGGATAAGAAGTCTTGGCAAAAGGGGGACAAGCCCTCCAGAAGCAAGGTGAGGCTAGGATACCCGTGAGGATGGGGGTTACTGGTCGGGTCCTGCTTCGTGCACCTTTGGCTGGGTCACCTCCCTCTGCAAAAGAGAGGACTTTGCCAAGTCAGGTCTGTCCCCCCACACTGCCACACGGCTAACTGCCACAGGGCTTACCTATTTGGCTGATGGACACGTGGATTGTTTACCGTCACTTGTTTGCTGGGGAGAGAGACAGAGAGACACACAGAGAGAGAGACAAAAAACAAGAAATCACCCCCCAAGGGAGATGGCCACGCACAATCCCCTCTCCTCCATTCTCCGCTCAGGATTTTGGGCACACACGCATGCGCTGCTGGGTCTGGGACTCCAGCCGCGCAGTTGGCCACGTGGAATGCAGCACCTTCGGGCCACCGGCCGCACTGACATTTGTTCTTACCCGCTGGGCTACAGGTAGAGCTGGGGACATGGGAGAATGGTGGCTGGATCTGAATACGCCAGACTGCCCTCCACGGGGTTCTCCAGGTACACCCCGCGGGCAATACGCAAGTGCCCACGCCCCACACTCCCGCGGGACCAGCTGGAGTCCTCCGGAGACACAGACTCGGTAGGACACATACATGTGTCGGGTTGGAAAAGTCATGGCACATTTTTGCACAGAAAAACAGAAAATACGGCGCGAGTTTTCCAGCACCCCAATATACAGAGCGAGGAGAGAGTCACACTGAGGGATTCGCTCTCGGGGCTGTGGGGTCTGGGGAGTCTGAAATCCTAGCCAGCTGGAGGCTCAGGCCAAGCCGGTGTTCCCAGGCTATGGGCAGAGCTGGTGAAACAGGAAAGGGATGCCTGGGTCACCCACAGGCACACGGCAGCCAGTGGGGGCTCAGCCTAGATTTCTGCGTGAGAGTCTCAAGCCAGAATTCCTTCTCCAAGAAACCACCAGTTCCGCTCAGAAAACCTCCAACCGATTGAAGGAGGCCCACCAACATGATGAGCGTAATCTTTACTTAAAGCCCACTGATGGTGGTGCCAGCAGGTGGCGTGGCGGTTAAGGAGCTAGACTCCCACGTGGCTTAATGTGGTTCGAGTCCCAGACCTGGTAGCTTGAAACTCAGGTAGCGTGCTTGCACATGTGTAGGCATGTCCAAAATCCTGGGAAGAGAAAGGACTGTGACATGATCATTCCCCTCTGGGCGGTGATTTCCCACTTTCCTGTTCACTGTCTCTCTGTCTCTGTCTCGCTCTCTGGTGAACACATGTGCCCTAAGGCAAAAATGTAAACAAAACAAAAAACAGCTCATGCTGGTAAAGGGGAATGGCATCTACAAAGTACCTTCGCAGCAACAACTGGTGGGTTTTTCTTTTTTATATGTAAGTTTATTTCTACCACAAGAGAGGGAGACAAATGGAGACAGAGCGAGTGAGGGACAGGAACCCCCAACAGAGTCAGTCTTCATGCCCCCAGTCCAGCTCCCAGCCCCAGCCGGGATCACAGGCATGAGCACGCCCCGGCCTATGCAGGAGACCTCAGGACATAAGCCTGGGGCCTTCTCAGATGGCCTCAGGATCATGGAGCAGTGTGCTACTGCTGTGTCACTGTGGCCAGCCTGGGCTCACGTTTGAACAGCTGTGCACCAGAGCCTGTCGCACTGACACACTGACACGCCTGCTCTCACTCACTGTTTCCATCCAGTGTTTGCCGTGCGGCCAGCGACAAGTGTCACAGCATTGCAGGGTTATCCTCTGGCTGTAGCCAGGTGACTGACGAGTGCTCCCCTCCACCCTACCCTGCTTGGAGGTGTGCCCAGGAGGCCGACTCTGCATTAGTGTCACTGCACCCCCTCACAGGAGCACCTGCAGATGGAGGCCAGGACAGGAGTGAAGTCGGGCAGAGTCCCTGCCGAGTCTGCTGCAGGTCGTCGCTACAGCACGGGCTTTGTCCTCCGAGGCGAGGCTCCAGCTCCTGGCTTCCGTCTCAGGCCTCTTCCGCCCCTGCCCCTCAGAGCAAGTCCCCTCCGCCTGCTTAGGCTCTGTAGAGAGGCAGCACCCTCACGGGTGCTGTTTTCCTGCAGACTTGACAATCCCAGCCAGGCACCCAGAAGGAAGGCCGGGGAGGCGGGTGGGCACGAGAGAGGCAGTGAGAAAGGCCCACCTGGCAGCGGCTCCGTGCACTCCTCCTCTGTGGG